AAAAAAAAAAAAAAAGGAAGAAACAAAAGAAAAAAAAAAGTCCTTATAAAGGTAAACTACAAAGATGAAGCCATTATAAAACCCTTTTGTGTGTGTGTGTGATGGAGTCTCACTCTGTCACCAGGCGAGAGTGCAGTGGCACAATCTCAGCTCACAGCCACCTCCACTTCCCTGGTTCAAGCAATTCTCTTGCCTCAGCATCCTGAGTAGGTGGGACTATAGGCACATGCCACCACGCCCAGCTAATTTTTGTATTTTTAGTAGAGACGGGGTTTTACCATGTTGGCCAGCATGGTCTCGATCTCCTGACCTTGTGATCTGCCCACCTTGACCTCCCAAAGTGCTGGGATTATAGGCATGAGCCACCACACCCGGCCCAGACCCTTCTAAAGTATGTGCTTCATTGCACTATTATAATAATAAATGTTTTCCCAATTTTTATTTTATAGTTCAAATTTAACTTTTGTACTCAAGGCCTTATTCTGGACATATGTTCTTAAAATCTATGTTTAAAGTTTTGTTTTCTGTTGTATAAATGAAGCACTGAAATTTTTCATGCTATCTTAGAGATTTTTTTAAAGGCTATTTCCATGCCTAGTAAATTGAAACATACTTCTTTTTGCAGACCAACTGTACAAGAAGAAAGAAAAATCTTAATAAAAAATGGAAGGCACCCTGTGATTGATGTGTTGCTGGGAGAACAAGATCAATATGTTCCCAATAGTACAGATTTATCAGTAAGTACTATATTATGCCAAAAAATAAGTTGACAATAACTTCCCAAACTTTTAAATACCAAAGAAACGTTTTTATAATTAAAAGTTACCCAAATTTCAACTTTGGCTTTAAATGGGCTAATCCTGGACATAGTTTTATATTTACCACCAAATGTGGAATTGGTGCTATTTTCAATGGAAGATTATCGGTAGATTTAGTAACTAATGCTTTAGTTCTAATTAGTTATCCTAGGTAACCCAATAAAAATATTTTACATTTGTAAATACCCAATAAGCAAATAGAGTTGGAATTATACCATAGTTTTGCAAATTCGTATTAGCATGTAGTGTTACATCCTTTGTACTGTGACTATTTTCAGATGTTCTTTCTATGAAAGAATCGGAGATGCCTCTGCAGATTCCAGTGATGAGAATTTTCATTAGGGGCTGGATTTCCCTTACATAACAGGAATGATCCTAAATACTTATTCACTTAACACATACTTACTGAGTGCCTGCGTCTCAGGTAAAGCAAGATTAGGAACAGAGAGTGGTAAAGAAGACAGAACTCAAAAAAAAAAAAAGAAAGAAAGAACTCTTCCCTGCCCTCACAGAGCTTGTGGTATAGCAGAGAAGATAGGCTAGTGTAATACAGCTTAATGCCTGGCATGATAGAGGAGACCAGGGTGGCCTGGGGATAGGTAGCAGGTTTACCTAACCCAATGGCGGGGAAGCATTGAGGAATGTTCCCCAGGGATGAGATACCAACTGAAGAATGAATCAGTGCAAGCCAGGGAAGTGAAGGGGAGCATTCCAGGTAGAAGAACCAGCATGGCAGATGCTGGAAGCGAGACATAACAGGATGAATGCAAGGATGGTGAGTAAGGTCGGAGTGCAGAGTGTAAAGAAAGAAGTGTTCAGAGATAAGGAAGAGGCCAGTTCACTTATATCAAGAAATTTACATTTTTCCCCCTAAAAGATTAAGAATACTAGCAAGAGAATGATTGAAGCTGGGGAAAATAGTGAAGTTGTGGCAGGGTGTGTGAGTTCCATTGTCAAAGATAAATGGAGCTGGGCACTGCAGTGGTAAGGATTGATCTTATTCAGTAATACTCCTGCAATAGGGAAGAGTCCATTGTGAACTGAACTTGACTTCATTTTGGTATAGATGGCTGGGTGATTTAAAGGAAGCTTGAGGGAACAGGGAGAGGAAATGAGCGAGGGAAGGAGAGCAAGTGAGGTGTGGTAATGTGAAACCCATCTGGATTTACTAATTGTTTGCTTATACCACATTTCTTTTCTTTTTCTTTTTTCTTTTTTTTTTTTTTTTTTTTTTTTTTTTTTTTTTTTTTTTTTTTTTTTTTTTTTTTTTTTTTTTTTTTTTTTGAGATGGAGTTTCGCTCTTGTTGCCCAGGCTGGAGTGCAATGGCGCATTCTCAGCTCACCGCAACCTCCACCTCCTGGGTTCAAGCGATTCTCCTGTCTCAGCCTCTTAGGTAGCTGGAATTACAGTCATGTGCCGCCACGTCCGGCTAATTTTTTGTATTTTTAGTAGAGATGGGGTTTCACCATGTTGGCCAGGATGGTCTCGATCTCTTGACCTCGTGATCCACCCGCTTCGGCTTCCCAAAGTGCTGGGATTACAGGTGTGAGCCACCGCGCCCAGCCGCTTATACCACATTTCAAAGAATAGCTCTCTGGTCCTTAAGAAGACAATTCTGGGTGATAGATTTACATCCCAAAGGGGCAGAAAATGTATTTATAATTGCAAGCTTTCTAAAGGTAACTGTTCTAAGAAGGGCTTCAGCATCTGGCTGCCTGTCACCAATTTTTGGCTGGAATGGTGAATCCTGGCAGCCCTGAGCTTTCTCAGGTAGGTACTTTTAGTGGGGCTGGGGTCATTTTATGGATGCAGCCTTGAGCTGTTAGAAACTGTGCTGGTTGGCTAGTTTCTAAGTGGGAAGGGTGAACAAAATCATTTTTGCTCAAAGTCTGTAGGTTTTTATAGGTCAAAGTTGAGATCTAGTCCAGAAGACGGCTCAGTGAGACCTGATGAGAATTTGATCAAGGAGAGGGTCTTCATTGACATGGGATAAAACAGTATGGTGATGGGTCAAATAATTAATATGTAGGGAGTAGTTACTTGAGAGAGAAGGTATCAGAGAATGAAATGCCTGACTTTCCGATTGCAAACATGGTGTTCTTCTGGGTCATGGCAAGTTCCTAGGTATGGCTATGGAAGGTGGGTAGCAGAAGGGAGAAGGTCTTTGGAGATGGAGAGATCAAGGAACAGAGTTTGGGAAAAAGTTGTCCATGTGAATGTTGAAGTCTAAGATAACAGCGAGATTCATCCTAGAAGACAACAGGGATCCAGGTGTCTGAGATTACAAGGAATGGTGATTGGGAACCCTGAAGTTTATATATGGCTTGCATTGAAGACAGGCAGTGGTAAACTGGAAGGAAGGAAGAACTTCTGAGCCCTGAGGTGCATAGTCCATGGTTGGATGCGGCAGAAAGCTCAGCCCCCAAATGAGAAACCTGCAGGGGAATAACAAACAGCCAGCCAGGTTTCATCTTAGTGTATGAAGGAAATGTTAAGCAAGGAGGTTAGAAACAGAAGTACTAGGGAACTTTTCTGAGGACAGTGAAAGAGCTGAGATGTAGGGGTGCATTTGGAATGTAGGTTAGAGAAAGGAAGCTCAGAATAGTAGCAAGTTGGGACTGTAACAGAGTATTCTACCTTGGGCTATGAGCAAGGGTGGCAGAGATGTGTGCAGCCATGGTGCGTTTGGCTGGCCATGAGAGGGGAATGTGAAAGGAAATGACATCTAGTTTAATATTGCATTTTCATATCATAACAAGACTTGTTGGTAGTATATAACATGTGTCTTAGTGTGTTCAGGCTGCTGTAACACAATATCATAGATTGAGTAGCTCATAAACAACAGAAATTTGTTTCTCAGAGCTCTAGAGTCTGGAAAGTCCAAGATCAAGGCACCAGAAGTTTCAGTTTATGGTGAAGGCCTGTTTCCTGATTCATAGATGGCACTTCACATGGTGGAATGGGTAAAGGGTATCTTACCCATGTACTTACATGGTAGAAGGGGTAAGGGATGTCTCTCAGGACCTCATGAACCCCATCTTCTAATACCATCACCATGAGGGTTAGGATTTCAACATATGAATTTGGGAGAGACACAAACATTCATATCATTGCCTCCTAAGACCCAGTGTTTTTAAACTTGTTCATTCTTATTAGGAAGTTTTTATATTTATTAGTCAAACAAGTTAATAAGTACCAATCTTTTTATTGTCTTTAAAAAGAAGACTATGTCTTTGGGAGGCTAAGGTGAGAGGATCAGTTGAGGTCAGGAGTTCAAGACCAGCCTGGCCAACATGGTGAAACCTTGTTTCAACTATACATATAAAAATTAACTGGGCATGGTGGCACCTGCCTGTGATTCCAACTACTCAGGAGGCTGAGGCAGGAGAATTGCTTGAACCTGGGAAGCCACTGTACTCCAGCCTGAGCAGCAGAGTGAGACTCTGTCTCAAAAAAAAAAAAAAAAAAAAAAAGAGATAAGAATTTTTTTTCAGTTATAATACCAGCAGGATATAGCCTTTCTTGAGAAAGTAATGTAAGTTAAATATAAACTAAGCGACTAAATATTAGAACTATAAGTCTCTTAAAATAATTTCCTGTTACTGTTTCTATGCCCTTCTACTTGACCGCAAGAATATTACCCTTGGGATTGACTTTTTCATTTCTTTTTTCTTTTCATTCATTTCTTTTTCCCTTTTTCTTTTGTAAAGTATATTACACTTTAATAAAGCAAGATTTGAAGAACTAAAATAGCCTTCTAATTACAATAATGTTTTAAAGAAACATTGAACTCTTATATTTAAATCTTTACAAAATAAATGGAGTAATTTTTTTTCTAAGCAAGCACCTCAGAATATTCCAGAATATTCATTTCTATTACATATGCTTTTTCTAACTTGAGTAGGAGTTGATATAGAACTGTTGCTATGGTGAAGTGCATTCTATTTTTCAGGGTATAAATTTATATATAGGGATAGTGTTGAGAAAGAACTTACGTAAAATTCAATTTAAAATATTTTATGGATGTTAATTATAAAATATACTCTGAAAATAATTTTAAAGTTAAATTACATTGTTGCTTTTGATAATCATGTAGTTTTAAGAACGAGTCTTTTGTACATGGAATTGTAAGTATACTTTTCTGCATTCTGTATTACATGAACTTATTATAGTGCTTCTAAACAAACCAACTTTCTGCTCGCTTTTTCTCTCCCAGTTTTAAGAATACTTTTTAAAACCCTCTTTCTTTTTGTCCCCTTCCTTGATTCACTATATAATCCAAGCATTTATCCACGTGGTCGCCACTGGAGCGCCCTCTTCCACCTTGCCCACCTCCTTGCATTCTCTACTCTGCAGCCACAGGGCTTCTGGAACCTGCCGTGTCACTCTCCTGTTTGAATTCATGCTTTACACTCCAGCCAGATTGGACTTCGTGTGGTTCCCAAGTCATTGTGCCTCTGGGACTTGACAGATGGTGTTCCCTCCACCTAGAATGTCATCTTTCCCCACCCCACCCACTCCCGCCTGACACACACCCACATCCACCCACCCACCCCACTCCCCAGCTCTGGCTTGTTCAAGTCTTGCCTTGGATGTCAGCTCTCGCACTCAGCCTTCCTTCGCCTAGCTGGGATGGGTAGCCCTCTCACATACCCTCGCCACTCTTTTTCTCCACATCTCAGTATTTATTCCACACATTTATAGTCTTTCTATTTTTTTTTTTTTTTTTTTGATCTGCCTTTCTCAGTGGACTATAAGCATGAAGAGAACAGGGACTACACCTCTTCACCTGTGTGTAATCCCAGGATCAGTCACAGCTCTCTGGCACATAGCTGGCACCTAATCAGATTTGTTACATCACTAAGGATTTGCTAGACGCCTTCAGCAGTCTCCAAGTCTCAGTTTAAATTTTTGCCTT